GGGGGGGGGGGGGGGGGGGTCCAAGTGGAGAGGTGGAAATTAGGGGTGCCAGGTGCTGTACAGAGCTGGGGGCAGAAATCAGGTCCCCAAATGCTAGGGGATGCACAAAGCTAGAGGCAGGGCAGAGATCGGGTGCTTGTGGCACCAGGGAGCCTGCCCTGCCATGAGCCCGGGCCTGATTGCACCACTCTGGGGGCCCTGGGCAAGGGCCTGGCCTTTAGCTGCTTCCTGGTAGCAAGACCCCTCGCTGCCATGCTGTTCTCTCTGCCAGGGCTTTCTGTGCACACGTTGGTGCAGCTGTCAGCCAGAGCAGGACCCCTGGGGCAGCACCACCATGATACTGGGTGGGGTGGGGGCATTAGGGGCCCGGCATCCCCTGGTGCTCTACAGGGCAGTGGTCTGAAAGGGTGATGTTTCCCCCACCTTCCAGGCTGCCACAGCCTGTGGGCGCCCCGCTGCTGTTCCCGGCTCTGGGTGCTTGTGTCAGCGGGAAGCCCCGGTCCCCAGACAAGGAGTCAGAGTATCCGTCCCGGTGACCCTTTGCATGCTGCGCAGCAGGGCCCTGGGCCGTGTCGATGGTGCCCACACCAGGTAACCTTCATTCTGCCCGTGCACAGCAACCCGTGGGTTGGGCTCGGTCACCAGCACCCGGGCAGCTCTGGCTGTGCCCAGGAGCGCAGCATAGGCTTTGTTCCCACCGATGAACCCTGGGAAGAGGAGGGGAAGCTGGGGCCGAGGCAGCGGTCTCCCCTAGCTCACCAGCCTGGGGGCTCAGGCTGCAGCCAAGAGCCCTGCCACACTCTGGGAGCTGTGGGCCTGCATAGGGCAGGAGGACTCAGGCTGCCGGCGGACACAGACCCTCCCTGCCCTGGGTTCTCCCGTGGCCCAGGACAGCCACCCGGGGCCAGGATCGGACCCACTCCCTGCAGCAGTGACTCAGGCTGCCATGGATCATGTGAGCCCCAGGGCCGGGGCCAAGCCCCCCCCTACACCTCCCCCTCCAGCCACGTGCAAATGTGAGCCACCCCCCATGCGGGCGCCTGCCCAGATTTTCCAGCAACTGTCGACTTCCTCCATCCTGGAGACATAAAAGACTGTGGCCACGGCTGCTGGAGGAACCGTCTCTGCTCTGCATCGACCCAGGACTGACAACAGGTGAGCACAGCCCGGACCCCCTGGTCCTAGCGGTGCGTCAGGCTGCCCCCCAGCTCCTCTGCCCTGTGCGGGGGGCTCTGCCCACAGCTGCATCCTAGGGGTCAGCAGCGAAAGGTTGCAGCATCAGGGTTTCTGCGGCCTTTTCCTGGCTGACAGGCCATGGGGGACCTTGACCCTCGACTAGTGCAGGGGAAGGCAGCACAGGGGCAGCTGGGATCCTGCAGATCCTGGGACCCAGGCTCGCCAGAGCCTGACAGCAGCCCCTGGGGCCCTCTGGGCTCGAAGGGAGGGTTGGCACTTGCCTGGATGGAGCCTAGAAGGGCAGAGGGGAAACTGAGGTACAGACCAAAGGTGCATCTTGTCCAGGGTGACTCTGAGCACCTTGCTGAGCGGAGAACTCGGGCATCTGGCACCCTGGCGCTGGCTGAGACCAGCAGGGGTCCCTCTGGCTGCGGTGGGGGGAAGGATGGAGGGGCGCTGGCTTTGCCTCTCCCCAATACCATGGGGTGGGGGCAGCACAGTACAGGGGCCTGGGGTCTGATTCCTGGGTTCTTCCTTGGTGCTTTGCTGCATGACCCTGCCAGCTCCATGCCTCAGTTTCCCCAGTTGTCAGCAGAGGCCCCGACCAACACAGAGCACCCACAACCGTGATTCCCAGCTGCCTTGGGTGCAGCTCAGGCCCTTCTCCAAAAACCCTGGCCCGCATGCACGCAAGGCTTAATGCAAACCAGCTGCTGCGTGCACGTGACACCGGCTCCCTCCCCCACCGGCACAGGGCCAGGGCGGGGGGGCTGGCCCTGGAGGGGCAGGAAGAGGGGTCTGTCACTGCCAGCTCTTTGCCAGAGCTTTAAAGATTCGTAGCTGCCTCTTGGCCTGGCCTGCCTGAGGCCCCACGTAGGCAAACCGGGACCACCGGGTTGAGCAAGAAGCAAGAGTCATGGCCCCTTCATCCCCCATCTCAGACCTGGCAAATGTTGCATTAGTGACCTGCTCCCTCGGCCGGGGCTAATTTAGTCCCTCGGCCTCTGCCTGCAGCCCAGACCTTAGCAGGCAGCAGTAGGAGGCTCTTATCCACTCTCCACCCCAGCCTCTAGCAGCTGCTTGTGGCCCACCCAAGGGTCCTGCAGGCCCAATGCCTGGTGGTAGCTAGAGGGTCTCATTGCTCCCCCCACGCCTGGCAGGATGTGGTGCGTTGGCCTCTTCGCTCTGCTGCTCCCAACCATGGCCGCCCTGCTGCACCCAGACCCGGCACTGGACGCCCAGTGGGAGCTATGGATGAAAACCCACAGGAAACAATACAACGGCAAGGTACCAGGGCAAGGGGGACAGAGATGGGAGTACGGGTCCCAGCTGGGGGCTCTGTGGTGGAGCCCCATGGAGAGCAGTGAGATGGATGCCAAGACCGGCTGCAGGGCCTGGGGCTGGTCGGTCTGGAGGGGAAAAGCCCCAGCGGGGGGGGTGTCATAAGGGGCAGATGGGGTTAGGTATCAAGCCAGCATTGGTGCCAAGGGAGTATGGGTCACCTCTGGTGCCAGGCTGGGCTGGGTGAGCCAGGCTGAGGATGCCAGGAGCTCAGTGCAGGGGGGATTTAGGATCCCTCCTAGCCCTGCCTCTCCTGTTGGGGACTGTGGTGGGGGCTCCCAGCCCAGATGGTGACCCTGGGTGCCTGGGCCTGAGCCCTCCTTGCCACCCCACTACAGCCGGACGAGCTCTCGCGGCGCCTGGTGTGGGAGAAGAACCTGCACTACATCGGCACCCACAACCTGGAGGTCTCACTGGGGCTGCACACCTACGAGCTGGCCATGAACCACCTGGGCGACATGGTAGGTGTCCCCTTGACTCGCACCCTTCTGACCCCCGGGACTCAGGGCTGTTTGGGCTGATGTCTGTGCATGTGTCCGTGTGTGCTTCCCCCTCCCCAGACCAGCGAGGAAGTGGTGCAGAAGATGACGGGGCTCAAGGTAGCACCGTCCCGGCCCCGTAGCAACGACACGCTGTACGAGCCCGACTGGACGGAGCAGGTGCCGGACGCCGTGGACTGGCGGAAGAAGGGCTACGTGACGCCCGTGAAGAACCAGGTAGGAGGGCTGCGGGAGGGAGCAGTGTCCAACCAGGATTGACACCCGTTCAAGTCCGGCTCGAGGTCCACCCCCATCTCTGCCCCTTCCCTGGCCCCCGCCTCTGACCCCAGGCTCTGGACAGGGTCAGTGCGGGTCGTGCTGGGCCTTCAGCTCGGTGGGAGCCCTGGAGGGGCAGCTGAAGCGGCGGATGGGGAAGCTGCTGTCGCTGAGCCCCCAGAACCTGGTGGACTGCGTGACCAACAACGACGGCTGTGGTGGCGGGTACATGACCAACGCCTTCGAGTACGTGCGCACGAACCGCGGCATCGACTCCGAGGACGCCTACCCCTACGTGGGCCAGGTAGGTCCTGGGCTCCGGCCCTGGGGGATTGCGCCAGGCCCAACCGTGCACCCCGGCCCAGGGGAGACTCTGGAGCCCGGCAGCTTCAGGCCCCAGGCCCTGACCCCGTAATGTCCTGGGACCTGCAGGAATCCAGGCCAATCACAGCGTGTGGCATGGCTGGCGGGAGAGGGAGTGGCTAGTGCTGGCCAGTCGAGACACAACTGGTTTCCTCCCAAACTTTCCAGTTCCCAGCAGGTGGTGGAAGGAGACAAAGCTAGCATTGGCCAATCAGGAGGCAGCTGATGGGAGGGGGGTGGAGCCTGCATTGGTTGATCAGGATGCAGTTGGTGGAAGGGGGTGGAGCCAGCACTGGCCAATCAGCATGCAGCTGGCCCCCTCCCAAACTTTTCCCCAAACTTTTTTTTCCCTTGGCTGCTAAAAATTGGGTGTTTTCCTATTGGAACCCCCCAAAAAAGCCATGAAATGCCCCGAAACTCCCCTCCTTACCAGTGCCCCTGTCGCCCCCGCAGGACGAGAGCTGCATGTACAACCCGACTGGGAAGGCAGCCAAGTGCCGGGGCTACCGGGAGATCCCGGAGGGGAACGAGAAGGCACTGAAGCGAGCCGTGGCCCGGGTGGGGCCCGTGTCGGTGGGCATCGACGCCAGCCTGCCCTCCTTCCAGTTCTACAGCAGAGGTAGGGGCCGGGGGGGTGACGGGCCCAGCTCCTCCCGCTCTGGGGTTTGGTTAGGGGCAGGAAGGGCCCCAGGGTCATCACTGCTGTCACTCTCTGTGCCCAGCCCTCGCGCCATCCGGCTCGTGGGACCTACAGCATCATCACATCTCTAGGTGCCTTCCCTGTCGCATCACTCCCACAATAGGGAAACCAAGGCATAGTGGGGGAAGGGGGAACACAGCCGTATCCTGCCTAACCTTGCTGCGTCCGTGGTGGCACAGATGTGTCTTAGCCACCTGGCGGGCACTTGCTGGGGCAGGTTGTCCCAGCTCTGCTGCTGCTCTGCTTCCTACCCCTTGAAGCCCGGGGCAGTGCCAAAACCCTGGTCTGGGTGGGTCGGGGGCTGGACGGAGAGCTGCTGTGCATGAGGCCAAGCGAGTGACACCCCCATCTTCCCCCTCCTCCCCAGGTGTGTACTATGACGAAAGCTGCAATGCCGAGAACATCAACCATGCGGTGCTGGCCGTGGGCTACGGGACGCAGAAGGGCGCCAAGTACTGGATCGTCAAGAACAGGTCAGGCAGACAGGGAGGCTGGAGGGGAGGCTGGGGTGAGCCAGGCACCTGGCAAGGGCAGGGTATTACCCCATCATTTGAACCCCGGGGGAAAACTGGACCCCTGCCCCCGCCACCTTGGGGAAGCTGCGAGCTCACCCCTGCCTTCCCTGTCCCACAGCTGGAGCGAGGAGTGGGGTAACAAGGGCTATGTCCTGATGGCCCGAAACATGGACAACGCCTGCGGCATTGCCAACCTAGCCAGCTTCCCCAAGATGTGAGTGCTGTGCTGGCCACGGCTCCGGCCCCGGCCCCGGCCCCGGCCCCATGCTCATGTCGCCGGCTTCTGCTCTGCTTCATCCCCATCCTCACCGCTCTGCGCCTCCAGCAACATGAGAATGCGCCTCCCCTCCGGCCGGGGAAGCTGCGCTCTCTACTCCCCAAGAGGTAGGGTGAAAGGACTGGTGTCTGCAGAGCCAGGAGGCGTGGGGCAGACTGAGCATTTCTCCAGGAGCAGGGATTCAGGCCCCGGAGGGATTCAACCCCCTGCCCCTTCTTTGGACCTACCCCGTGGAGCCAGCACCCTTCATCCCATGCATGCAGCCAGCCGCAGCCACCAGCTGTGCCCATTTCTGAGACCCGTGTGGAGCCGGAGGGCTGGACCCAGGTTCTGAGGCCTCCCCAGGGCCCGGCCGTCAGTGGGAAGAGGTTGCAGGGTGCCCGCACCCCGGAGAGCTTCTGTGGGTGGCTTTCTGTTGCCCTGTCCTGTGTGACCTGGGGTGCAGCAGAGCTAGTCTCCTGTGGTCCTGGGCAACCTCTGTATCCCTCCCTCCACGATGTGGCGGGTTTAGGTGAGACCAACACAACTGTATTGTGAATAAACGCAGTGGGGAGAAGCTGGCGTCTGTCCATGGTTGTCTCCATGTCCCGTCCTGACTTGCCGAGTGGTGTCATCACAGATTTATCAGCCTTTAGTTTAGAAGGGACCTCAAGAGCCCAGCAAGTTCCTCCACTAGGGAAGGAAAGTCCAGCCCACGCTAGCCAGCTGCCCCGGGGCTTAGCTAGCCCCTTGGTTGGAAGGTTTTCCCCACATCCAACCAAAATTTTCTACCGATTCAGCTGATTTCTTGGGCCCTTCCTCACAGCCATGGAGGAAAACCTACCAGCACCTTTGCACCAAAACATCTCGGTATGGGGGACACAGATCTAGTGTCATCCCCCCCTCCCCAGACTCTGCCTTTCCAAACGAAACAAACCCTGTCTTCATCAGCCTTGGCTCCTAAACCCCCTCCTCATGTCATTCTCCTCTGCAAGGTGCAGAATCTATCCTGACGTCACACTAACACGGCTGCCACCTCTCCGTTAACATCCAGTGCCTGCCCAGCACTGGACCCAGTGCCCTGGTGCACCACTTGGGGTTGTCTACAAGTCCAGACCTCGCGGCAGGCTGTGGGGTTGGCTGGGACGAGGAGGTACTCGACCCAGCTTGGCCACCAACTGAAATGGTTCCCCCCCCACCAAAAAACTGTCCGATTTTCGTGGAAAACATTGAATTTGGGACATTTAAAAACACAGATTCCTGGAACCTGAAGGTCTGTCCTGGCAGGCTGCATCTGGGAGTCCCATCTCCTTTGCTGGTGGGGCTCTCACCTGGACTTTGTTTCCCATGATGCACCACAGCCCAGAAACCATGGTGGATCATGGGATGTATAAACCAAGCAGGGGGCAGCCCCATAGAGGCAAGGAGGGGCTGGGAGATGCTGCCCTTCCAGTCTGAGCAGTCCTGAGTAGTTCTCCCCTCTGAAGTATCAGCATTACCTTGGCACTGGGGAAGTCAACAATTACATACCAGTTTTATTTGCACCTAAATCCCCAGGTCCTGGAGTCATGTGCTCCCCAGTGGGGATGCAGCATAGGCCAAAGTGGGGGTGCTTCCTGCAGGCGCGACTACCCCTGGATGCATAAGTCACGGCTGCAAGAGCCTTGTGTGGGCAAGGACATTTGAAGGTGCAATCAATTTGTCTTTTAGTCTGAGCTGCAGGGTTGTGCCCACACATCTGACCTGGCAGCCTCAGCAATTCATCCTGCAGGGCTAGAGGCCATGTGCTGCCGCACTGCTGCCCATCCAACTTCTATCTGCACCGATCCCGGCCCTAAGAGCTCACGGGGCAGCACCAGGCATGAGGGCCCCAGCTCCAGGCAGCAGCTTTGCACTGACCCTGGGGATGTGACTGGTGTGACCATGATGGCACAATGCAGAGATTGGGGTGGGGTATCAGAGAAGGGCATCCAGCTCCTTGCGCTGTGGCCCCTCTGCTCACCGGGCTCTTGGACTCGGGCTGGTGGAAGGAGGAAGGGAAGGAGGGGGCCCTTTCCTTTCTTGGCATCCCACACCCCTTCCCCCTGCCCCAGCTGAGCCCTGCCTGGTTCCTCTTTCGGGTGGTGGGAACAGCTGGGTCTGGAGAGAAATGGGGATGAAGAATGAGGCTGAGGGAAGGGGGAGGTGGGAGAGACCGTGTCCAAAAGCAGAAGTGGGTGTCCCCAGCTGCAACCCCAGAAGCCACTGGCGCTGTTCTTGCTGATGGCTGCTTTCCTGGTACAGCTGAGCTCAGCTCAGCCTCTGGGTGAAAACACTTAACGGTGGGGTCTACTACAGACCACCCGACCAAGGGGAAGAGCTAGACCAGGAATTCTTAAGTCAGCTCATGGAGGCAGTTAGGTCAAAGGATGTGGTCATCATGGATGAACTGAACTCCCCAGACATTTGCTGGGAAGAGAAGTGAGCCAGGTGTGACTGCTCACGTAGGTTTCTAGCCAAAATGCAGGACTTCCATCTAATCCAGGGGGTGCACGGCCCCACCAGGGGAGACGCCTTGTTGGACCTGGTGCTGGCCACAGGCGACGACCTGGTGAGGGGGCTGCGGGTGCTCGACCACCTGGGCGACAGCGATCATCACCTGCTGGGATTCACCATCCAGCACAAGGTGGCAAAGGCCTGCAGCAAGGCAGCAGCCCTAGATTGCAAGAGGACGGACTTCAGCGAGCTAAGGAGACTAGTTGGGGAAGCACTGAGGTCCTGGAGGGGAGAGGAGCCAGGTGTCCAAAGAGAGTGGTCGCTCCTTAAGGCGACGATCCTCCAAGCCCAAAGGGAGGTAATCCCAACACGGATCAAAGTGGGCAAAAGGGCGCAAAAGCCCCCGTGGCTCACCAAAAGCATCCGGGAACGTCTCCTAGCTAAAAGGGAGGTGCACACCCAATGGCAGAGAGGGGCCATCACCAGGGAGGATTATACCTCGGTTGCTCGGGGCTGCAGGGGGGGTCAGGAAGGCCAAGGCGGAGATGGGACTGGGACTAGCGACCGGGATCAAGGGCAACAAGAAGTCCTGTTTTAAATACATAGGGGATAAAAAGAAGGTACCGGGTAATGTGGGGCCCCTGCAAGACACGCTAGGAAATTTGGTCGTCACACCAGATGACAAAGCTAACCTATTTAACAACTTCTTTGCCTCCATCTTCCTAAGCAGGGACCAGATCAGCCCCCCACCGGGCCCCCCTCAGGCCCCAGGGGAGGTGCACCTAAGCCAAAGGTCAGTGCGGATCTAGTCAGGGAACTTCTGGAGGGACTGGATGTATTTAAATCAGCCGGTCCAGACGATCTCCACCCCCAAGTGCTGAGGGAATTAGCTGAGGTCATTGCGGGACCCCTGGCACAGCTGTATGAGCACTTGTGGTGCTCTGGTGTGGTGCCGGAGGACTGGAAGAGGGCCAATGTGGTTCCCATCTTCAAAAAAGGAAGGAAGGAGGACCCAGGGAACTATAG